AACGAAACTGATCGTGTACGAAATCCAAAACTATATCGTGTACGATTGTAAATGTAACCAACGAAACTGATCGTGTACGATATCAAAGCTGAATCGTGTACGATTATTTACACGCAATGAAACTGATCGTGTACGATATCAAAGCTGAATCGTGTACGATTATTTACACACAACGAAACGTGTTGGATATGAGATCGTGTACGATGTCATGAGATCGTATACGATATCCCAGATAGACACATTGATCCTGAACTTGGAAGTTTTAATCTAAATCCGCAAGAAGTGGACGAAGACGAAGTAGTGGTTTTTGACATTACGCAAGTTTAATTCATTATAGATTCTCCATGCAACTGTTCATGTTCACATTTATAATTTATGTAATGTTTATGATACAACCTTTACATTACTACTTTAAACAAATTGCTATATATACATATGCAAGTTTAATTGCAATGCAAGTTTAATTGCAATGCAAGTTTAATTGCAATGCAAGTTTAATTGCAATGCAAGTTTAGAATTCAAATAATCGACAAAACATGTAAGAATAATTAATTCTAGCTCGAGTACACCTATCTAATCTTCGTATAAAAATCATCGCGCTGCATTATCTTGGTCATTCTTTACATTTTGGGGTTTCCCCCCCCGAATATTTCGATTTCGAGTAAATTAGCTTCTTGTAAGTGTGGTTTTCTTTCCTTCCTTGATAAATTATGAACTTGAGCTAAATGATTGGATAATTTCACTAAATACTAACTTCACACCACAATTCGGTACCGGACAATTCCTACACTGACGCTTTGAAATGAGGTTGACTCAACGAAAGTTTAGGCAAACTAAAATTTTTATCGCAATTGCACACAAATTTAAAATCGGGGACAAAAGGTGACAATAGGTGACAAAAGGGACATTGAGAGAGAGACGTGTTCACTACCAAACATATATTTATTAAAAATCTTTGTTCATTACTATTTACAATACTTTAATTAAAGAAACATCCTATAAGAATTACTTATCAAAATATTTAGAGATTTATTTACAAAATTCAGAGCTTATCTGTAAGACTCATGGAATTAAAAATGTCCTATAACATCAAATTATAAAATGTTGGGATTATTTTATTTGTTTTTAAACATTTTTGACTAAAAGACGAGGGGCAAAAGGTGACAAAAGGTGACACAAGGGACTTTCAAAAAGGTGTGTTCACCCTCAAGATCTATTTATACATTTGTATTTACATTAAATATCTAATGGTAGAGTGGTCACCCCATCCTCCAATACTTTACGTTTGGGGTAGAAGTAGGAAAACCCATCCCGGGTCTGGGTGTACGTGTACATCCTATTATTGACTACCCTAAAACCCTTGTTGATACCCGAACTGCTTCGCTTACTTAATAATACATTTAAATACTTGTCCTTGTTAATGTCATTCGTCTTCTTGTTTACCCCTTTACAACTAAACTTATCATGGGATCCAAAACAATAATAGGTCTTAGAACTCAAACAAATAATTCCTTCCCCAGACCACTCTTCCTTAAACAACCCCGGCGTTCTTTTATCGTACGCTTTGTTCTCTGGAGTATCGGTACGAGGGAACCAATTATGCTTGTCGGATTCGAATTCCTCCCTCAACTCTAGTTTTACTAAACTTTCCACATTCTCCCCAGAAATCGCTATATACGCAGAATCAGTATCCATCTCACAATACTGAAAATCACTCCGATCTAAATATTTATCTATAAAATCATAATAAAATTCTAGCATTCTTAGCTTCGCATATTGGTACACAAAGAATCCTATCTGCATGGGAAGGTTCAGACTGATTCTCTTCTTGGCCGACTGAACTTCATACGTATCGTCATCAATAACTTCCAACTGCCGGAAGAAAGAGCTGTTGACTAAACGGGAGGTCTTGGTCTCATCACAAAACTTGATTTCTCTGTGTCGCTCTTGATCTGTGATGGTCTTGCCATAACTAGAATTTCCCACCTGTATAAAGACGTTGATATGATTGTCATATATTTATAGCATCAAACAACATTTCTTTCGTAGTTTGTAGAAAAAAACTTACCAGTTTCATGGTATCCGCAATGATGGCCTTGACCATCCCTTCTGGCGTTGGACACCACTTCTCCAAAAGGCTTGAAGCATGGACTCGGTGTATATTCCACGATCTGGTAGATGTGCGTGACTTGTAAACCATGTTCCAGATACCATTTCAACAAGGGAGTAGCCAACAAAACCTCTTTGCCAAAGTAACTTCCAATAAGACTTCTGCGTGGACGAGGCATGATTTTGTTTTCCTCAGCAAACCCTCTCATGTAATCCCCGATATCCTCTCGAGATATTTCCACGTTCTTGAAGATCGGGCACATTTCGCTGAACTTTTCTTTCAAGTGGTCTGGAACACAGATGTCGCACTCCACTACGCCAAACAACTGCTCATCCAGAACGGCTTGAAGAATCTGGTCATGGGTGAGGGTCTTGTATTTGTCCATAGGTCTTTGGAACTTTACACCCAAGAACTCTTTGATAGCAGGGATGGTTTTCTTCATTCTTCTCCACTCACACTCCCACATCTCGATGACAGTGTAACCTTCGCTTCGGATGTACTTTGTGTTAACCTGTGTTTCATATCTCAACTCGGCCATGGGTTTCTTTCTCAATTCATTCCAGGTCTTTCCTTTCGTCAAGTGACACTGATGCCCATGAATATAACAACCTAGAGGTTGACAAATAACAGTAAATATATAAATATATAAAAAATATCAATAACCACAGGGAAACCAATTACAGGAATATGATACACCACAGGAAGCCCAAACTAGGAATCAAAGGAAACCTAAGTTCTGAATTCTAACTTACCATGAAATTGAAAGACGGTTTGGCTGGGACCATGGAACCCATCCACTGGTAGTCTTCTAGCACCAATTCTTTTCTCGGTATCATTGACTTGATGTCGGATGTGGATACCACGTGTTTCAGCCTCCCACTCCAACCATTCCGTCGCCATCTTGACTGAACTTTCTTTCTTAAACCCAGTTTCTTCTCTTCTTCTCATGAATGCCCCTGTTGGCATATCTTTCATGATCGCAGAGAGATAGAGCGCGTCTGCATCATATCCCACGATCTTCTGGCACGTTTTGGCTTTGACTCCCTTGGTTTTCACCTCCACCTCTCGAATCTTGGTCTTATCCTTCTCGTGGTAGCGGTGGAAGATGATGCTTGGTCCACCCACCATGTTCTTTTTGAACAAATAGTACAGATCTTTGTTTTTCTCATCAAACAGAGAGAAGAAGATGTCTGGTTCCAATGTCATGAAGAGATACGTCAGCGTCACACCAGGGATGGAGATACCTTGTCTTAACATGTCTGTGTTCTTATCTTTCCAGAACGCACACATCTTCTCCAAAGCTTCACAGAAGGGCTGGACATCCAGGTTATTATACCAAACCAGGAAATCTTCGAAACACTGCATGTTATTTTCTTGCCAGACGTGATGGCAATACTGGTAATCTTCTAGCGAGATGTTAGTGTTGGTGAGGGAGGAGTAAAAGGCTTCATGGGGAGGAAGAGCAGGGTAGTCGAGCTTGTCCAGGGAATCCATCCACTCATAGGGAAAGAACCCTAAAAATATATATAAATCATAGTTTAGTGTTAGGAAATCCTTAATGACATGAAACCGTAAAAGTCATAATTACCAACCTTTAGTTTGAGGGCATTCATAGGCTTTGAGAAACTTCTCGTAACTGAACCCTGGCGCGAGGAAGTTGGTCACATCCAAGAACTTGAGATGTTCGGTCTTGAGGCACATAAAGTTGTTGTTTCTTTTTACTGCAAATTTGACTTGTTCGTGCTCCGTCAGGACGGGAAACAGAAACTATTTGGCGGCGTTTAAATCGTATTTCCCGGAGTTGAAGCCCAAGACTGGTAATTCTCTTAAATAGTCTCTCAGCTTAGCCTATCAACAAAACAGAATGGTAATTACGAAAATCACTCAAGTATGAATGACAATATAGAGATAATTGTGTTGTGTTTTGATTATTATATCTTTTTGATTTTTATACAAGTATATAGTTACCTCCAACTTGACCAGGGGATGTTCTCTCTTCTTCTCTTTCTTCTGATCTTTAGGAATTTCTCTATATTGCTGCGTTTCTCCAAGTTCTTGATTCAGAGCTCTGTAAAATCCAAGGTCTTGCTCTTCATTTTCACTTTTATCGTCGATAAACGCTCGGTCTTCTTCATTTTCGGATTCAATCTCTTCATCATCCTCGTCATCGCTATTCATCACGTCAATCCCTCGATCCTCCTGCTCGTATTCACTGTCTTCTTCCTCGTTACTTTCTTGTTCTTCTTGGTGCTCCTCTCGCTCACCTTCTACTGGTGTTACGGCACTCAACTTTTCCTCAATTGCTTTAAACACGTCGCCGAACAGTTCTTTCACCAACCTATAACTTTCTTGACTGACTTCTACCAGATAGTACACCATATTTCTCACCAGTAGTTTTGGATCTCCTTCACTCACAAAGCATTTAGGACGGTCAAAACCAGGAACATTCGAACAAACGCTCACACTCAGAGGCACATGTTTGGCTTCCCAGTTGAGTTTCCCTGTATCTTCTGGTAGCCTGGTCTTTTCAAACATACACTCAAAGTCAAACGTGGCGCGGTAAGGGAAAAAGCGTAGATGAACTGGAATCGTGATGCCTTCATCTTCCAACAGATCAAAGATGGTCTTGGGGGTCTTATAGGTACCCCCAGGAAACTGGTAACGCACTTTAGCTTCACAGGTCAGCTCGTGGCGGTTCATCATACAAGCGTGCTTCCAGTACTTGCCACATCGAGAGCACTGGTAACTCTTGGAGTATCTAGCTAAACTCTTGATGTAAGAAAAATGGTCTCTGTACAGGTTCAAATACATCGTGTTCGGGTAACGACAGTGGGACCGGCGGATTAAGCGAGCGGCAATTTCAGGCTGATGGTTCTCTTCAGGTTCTTCGTCCGCTACTTCGCCTTCAGGACGAGTCGGCTCCAAAGAATACACAGCGATGTTCACTTCAAACAGTTTCTCCAACACTGATAGATCTTCGAGCTCCACGCCAGCAAATTCGATGGGATTGGTCTGGCAAAATCTAAGAAAATAAAAAATAAAAATAAAATATCTCCACACCTTTATGGATAACAAGAACGGATGTTTCAATTGTTGGTTAAAGAGTTATGTTTTAATTAAACAAAATTTTCTGGTAATTTTAACAAAGTTTTTAGAAAATTTAATCAAGGTTTTAGAAATTTGAATTAAAAGCGCGTTATTATGGTTTTGGCTTTAGCTTTTATACCAGGAAAAGCGTGTTAAAGTTTTCTAGCAATAAGAAATGAAAAGTTAGTTTAAAAAATCTAAGTTTAGAAAACGATTTTGTTTCATAGCACATTTAACTTTAACTGTATACAGGGTCTAAACAGTTTTCGGTCATAAAATATACATATTCTTCATAAGTATAACAAAACAGACATGAAATTATTTAGTATGTTACTTACCGATATTCATATAGAACTTAAAAAAAGATAAGAAGCAAGAAAAAAAAATTGAATTTTAGTTAGAAGATTTAGACTGAGTCTTTACTTTGAGAAAATTGCTTCGTTTTTGTTAATAATAGTTATATGATATTTCAACAGTTTTTATCATAAAATAGATAGTTTTTCTCTAGACAAACAATTTAGGAAGCTGAATGAAAATGAAAACCCGGATTTTACTAGAAATTTATATGTCACACGATTAATGGATGATAATGTTTACAAACGAGTAAACATGGACTAAAAAAAAAAATTCTGATCCACAAAGTAACCAAGGTTTAAATGATAAAGTATGAAACAATACTGTTAATGTGCAACAACCACTGAAGCGTGGTTCTTGCTTTAAATTTGCATTTCACTTGAGTATATAATACAAAAGGAACTAGTCGTATTTAACGCGAAAACAATAGTCTACTTTTCGAGGTAAGAATGTATTCAAAATTAAAAACTTAGCGAAGCTTATTCATACTATATAGGATGAAAATAAACACTGACCTCTCAAGATAATGCTTGGTATCCCTCTCCAAATTCTTGGTATGACATCCGTTATGGACTGCCAGACAACGGAAGAACCAGAGTAGGTCAATATAAGGCAATCCAGTACGATCGTCGCAATTCAAGGCAACGATGGCTTTATTGTTGAGGATGTAAGATGGTAGCAATGAAGAACGGCCGATGGGGTGTTCTCGGAGTTTGGTGACATAGAAGCACACGTTTGTAATCCAGCTGACGATCCATTTACTATTCGGTCTCTTTTGTCGTACCCATTCTAGAATATCCAGGTTTTGTAACTGCTCGTAGACTTTTTCCAAATCCTGAGCGTTGGAGATGAGGAACGGCTCCTCAAACAGTCTGCTGTTATTATGTGAAGCATGGTAAAATTGAAGTTGTCCCGTTTCGTTGTTACGAAGAATGAAACCAAAAGACAGGTTGAGTCTGAATACGGTAGATTGGTCTTGGAAGATACGTTGTATTTGACGGATGAGGTCTTCGGTGTTGAGAGTATCGACCCTGAAATTGTACCAATCTTGAATTTTGTTTCTTCGACTAAATCGAGTACGGATCTGACGCCAGTGCTTCTGGTACATTGCTCGTGTGGCTTCATCCACATCTAAAACAAGTGTGGGTGGCATGGTGAATGGGTCAGGTTGCCAACTAGAAGCAGCATAATCAGTGGAGGTAATTTCTTGGGGATCAGAACGGTAAAGAGTCAAAGAGTTCCACAGGGATATCATGGAAGCGATCCATAGTTTGAAAATACTTCAAAAGGTTGCTAAAGATTGCGCGATCAGTTTACTCGAATGTACTCCCAACTGAGTGTATAGAAAAGTTTAGAAAGCGCGTTTTTAAAGTAGAGGGTATTGACGTCAATCCTTTTGTTCTTGAGTACTTAACTCAGCTGTTTGATTGTTCTTTGTGTGTGATACACAATAGCTTTGCCTGGACTTGCCCGAACCCACCTCGAAAATAATAGCTCACCACTTGCTCGTCCTTTAGCCCACCATTTTATGGTAATAAGTAATAAAATAATTAAATCCACCGCATATCATACACGTAATGCATGACGTATTCGAACATAATTAAATCCTCCGCAAAATACTCGAATCCTCCGCAGAAATTAATAAATCCTCCGCGAAAACCGGGGTCGTGCGGTGCGGCCTATACTACTCTCGGTGCTCGTATTGATGAGGTTCCACTGGATAAGATACCTATAGCCTACTAAAGGCATGTTTACACCCTGTTAATCCGGACACTTTTTAAAGGCATGTGTCACCCTGTTCATCCGGACACAATGACGCGGTTCCACTCTAATAGCCAATAATGACATATCTTGAGAACGACATGTAAAATATGGGTATTGATTTGTGACAACATTAATATTATTATCACATTGCATTAACTGAAGTACCTCAATATTATACATAATGAATATAAAGGCATGGATAATGAACACAGAGGCATGGATAATGATTATAGTAACTGAAGCAGCTCAGTAATAGACCTATTTAGCTTCGTTGTTTTTGTTCTTGCGTTGATTCTTTCATGCGTAAATATTTTAACCATCAATATTTCAATCGTCATTAAAAAAATTCTCAAGGAGATGTCATGTGATCTGAAACTGGAATTTTGCATACAAAATTCTTTCAATGACAATAGGGGTGCAGTTTTTTCCTCAATATTTGTTGGACAAGGTACGTAGTTCGTAAAGGAAACCATCGCAGAACAGAAAAATGGCGAAATGKTTAGAAAGAAGAGAGAACGACAATGTTTGCTGCGGGTGTCTCCGTGCCTTCTTTCGCTTCCTGCGCAGCGATCTTTTGCTGACATTCATTCTTATTGGTGTCGTGATCGGCTTTATCATTGGAATAACAGCAAATGGAAAAATCAACGMCATCACCGACGTTGAAGACAGGAAAACTGCAGTGATGCTGATAGGATTCCCAGGMGAGCTGTTCATGAACATGCTCAAATTGTTAATCCTTCCTCTGATCGTCGCCAGCCTCGTCACTGCTGTTGCATCCCTTGATTCTAAAGCAACAGCCAAAATCGGTCGCCGCACTGTTATATATTTCTTGAGTACGACTTTTGTCGCAGTTGTCCTGGGTATTATCTTAGTGACGTCCATCCAGCCAGGAAAGGGAGGAAAACCAAATGTTGATGGGAAATACACGCCAAAATTTCGGACTGTTGATTCGTTCCTCGATCTGATCAGGTATGACAATGATCCAAATTTATGCCCGACTTGTAACTTGATTCTCCTTCCGCATCCAGAGATTCACAATGTCAAAATTCATGATAAATTGCTCTTGTAAAGCTGAAATTCATTCGTAATCATAAAGTAGTAGTAACATGAAGGGGTTTAATCGATACTATAGCTCACTAAAGAAAAGGTTTGCTGAATGACGACCGATTAGCAAGGAGATTGGAATGGGGTTTCGAGGTTGCGAGAGCTTTGAAACTTCAAACCAGTTTCGACCAACATCAAGCGTTTTATTTAAATCATACAATTTCAGTGACACCAGTCGGCGGTGGAGAAAACATACTTATGGATATAAATGATTRGAATTACTCTGATACAAATAGGAATATTGAACGCCTTGAATGTGMAGTGATGCTTCAGCATTCAAAATTCCTCGATCAAATTACTGAACTGCTGGRTAAGAAACATTAGGAGCGCTGGTCACGGGAACTTCGTTATGATACAGTTAAGTCACTAGATGATAAATAAGAAAGCATGAAAAAGGGCGATTTGATTCCTTTTAAATAAACAATTAATCTTAATCAAATGGGATTAATAATAACCATTATTAATAAATAATAACTATTTTAGAACATACTTTAAGAGGAAAATAGTTCTATATTCCTTAAGTAATATATACAAACGGAGGCAACTTTTCCTTCTCTGTGCACGGTCAACGTCATACAAAAATGGATAAAGTCGAACAAAATCTTAGAACAATAAGTTTTCAAACCATTAACTWTATTATTTAATAAAATTCAAATTCAAATCAAACTTGTTTTTCGAGAAAAAATTAGCTTCATAATAGACAATCACATCTCTAAAATGAGCTTGGTTTCTCCTATTCTTCTCTCTTTTTATTCCCTAGTAGTTCTCGTAAATTAATCTTATCCTTTTAATCAGTTTCATACTAATRTTGGTTCATTGTTTTTCGTATCATTAGGAGTTTATTTCCACCAAACATCGCCGAAGCTACCTTTAATCAAGTAAGTGCCGAAATTTGCATTTCTGATGTTCACGAGAGAATGAGCAGCAAGTCGTAAGTCAGAAAAAAGAATATAAACTGATTTTCTATTCTTCTAACRTACGTCCCAAATAAAACTGTAGAGACAGACGAAATACTCATCACTGGAAGCCAAGTATCGAGAATACAACAAGACAATAGAGACMAACAAACAAAACGAAACAAGCGGAATCATCGCTGAATTTGCCGTGAATGCCACCCACAAGGTCGTCACGGTGAAGGAGCTTGTGAGCAGATCATACAGCAAGATCCCTGCAGGTACTTCCCCCGTTCATGGAAGCTCAATGAATGTTCTTGGTCTGGTACTGTTCTCCATCGTGTTGGGAGCCGTGCTGAGTAGGATGGGAGAGCAGGGAATGCCACTGAAGACGCTGTTTGAGTCGCTAAACCAAGCGGTGATGAGGATGATTACAATTGTTATGTGGTAAGTCAAATGACATCGAATCAAGTGTGGCTTGAGATATTGTGAAATAACTAACTTTCACTAACAATTAAGCAGAAACAGATCTCACGACCACGCTGCTAGTCCAGTCAAGACGCTGGTATGTGGCACACAAAGCRTCATAATGTGAGATGCAGCTTTCTGTTCGTCCAATGAGGACGCTGGATTCCCCGTATGACAATGTCAAGGTCTTACTAAATTTACTCTTACTATAATTCCTTGCGTCCACAGGTCCTCTCCAATCGGCATCTGCAGTCTGACCGCGGCCAAGTTGGTTGCCATGGATGACATACTAAAATCCCTAGAGGCCTTAGGATTGTTTATGGTCACCTCAATTGTAGGGGTTCTCATCCATACGTTAATTATCCTACCTCTCATCTACTTTATTGTAACGCGAACTAACCCGTACAAGTTTATGGCCAAAATGAGTGACGCGCTTATCACRGCTTGGGGAACAGCATCCAGGTGAGTCACAACATATTCTGCATACAAAAGCAAGTGTAACACGAGTAGCGTGATGTGAGTGGCATGACATCAGCATGATAAGAGTACAGCATCCAGGTGAGTCACAACATATTCTGCATACAAAAGCAAGTGTAACACGAGTAGCGTGATGTGAGTGGCATGACATCAGCATGATAAGAGTACAGCATCCAGGTGAGTCACCACACATTCTGCATACTTAAGAAAATGTGACGTAATATGGGTGATGTGACGGCCATGAAGTTATAGTGTGATAAGAGCACAGTATTTAGGTAAATCACAACGTATTGTTAGACAAGTAGGGCAATCTTCCTTAAGTTTCCAACATAAGTCAGCGTGACATGAGTGACACGCAAACGCAGTATCAATAAACCTTCTTAACATAGGCGTTAATTTTTCCATTTCAGACCACGTATCTTTCCCTTGTGTTTTATTTCTTTATTAACCAATAGCGCTTGTGAAGTGACATGAGTATAAATGTATTGGAAATGCATAACGGAAATTAAGGTCTTTAACAAGGCCTCTAAGTGTCAAAGAATCACTATAAGTATCACCGCTGTTTTTGGCCTACCTCAGCGGTACACCTGCCATAACGAACTCTATGTACGRCAGAAGTCATTCTTTCATCAACATTTTTATAATTAAAGCAAACTCATTTCGGATATTTATGTTTGTAAAATTGTCTCCATCCATAATAGTGCTGCAACGCTTCCGACCACGATTCGATGTACGGAAGAGAAGCTCGGTATTGATCCCCGCATCACCAGGTTCGTGTTACCCCTTGGAGCTACAGTCAACATGGATGGTACTGCTCTGTATGAAGCAGTGGGGGCTATCTGGATCGCGCAGATGAACAACATACCAATGGGAGCGGGGAAAATCATCACCACTTGGTACGTATAGCAGTTATTGCGCCACAAGCTTGTAACTAGCCTTCCAGTGAACTTTCTTCAAATAGTCCCCTTCACAGTTCCCTGCGCCATCTTGAAAGGTAGCCATGCCTTCGCATCCCAGCTAGATGAACGATGAGCTTGCAATGATAAAGACATGCGAATAATTGTCCAAGGTGTTACAAAAGGTCTCATTGGTCTCGCTTCAATGCAAAGGCACGGTTGCCTTTCAAGATGGCCCAGGGAGCTGTATTTCATCGGTACCAAATTTTTACGTGCTTCATAAATAAAAAATACCGTCGTTGTCTGTTTTGTCAGCCTCACAGCCACTGCTGCCGCCGTTGGAGCCGCTGCTGTTCCATCAGCAGGTCTCATTACCATGGTGATTGTCTGTCAAGCCATCAATGTTCCTGCAGAAGACATTGGTCTGATCTTCGCGGTCGATTGGTTCATGTAAGTCACTAGATTATCGTGGATGTAATAAATCCTTGCCTGATGGCTCAGCACAAACTCCATACTCTCCTTATCCCCCTTTCCCGATCCTAGCATTTCCTTGTATATCATTAAAATTATTAATAGATCACGTGACTGTAGACGAACTAATAGACGAACTGTACCATTATGCAATCTTGAGAAATTGTTCAGATTTTTGTTATTTTGTTTAGTGATCGATTCCGTACCGYCTCCAACGTCATGGGCGACGCCTTTGGCTCAGGAGTCGTTTTCAAGTTATCCAAAGAAGATCTCCTTCATGATGACCCATTGATGGAATAGAAAACGACAAACCATACACCAAGGATAACGGCTTGGGGAAAGCTAACCTACTACACGAAAACACTGCTCTGTAATCGTACAAGATTAGTTTGCTTATTTTCCCTTTCTAAACATTCAAAAGACCTGGTAAACTCCGATAACGCGGTTTACTATTTTTTCTAATAACACTAGAACACGAAGCACRAAAAATGCTAAAACACATGTGTAAAGATGATAATAATAATAAAATTATTATTTTCTAACAACAAGCACACGAAGCACGAAAAATTTTAAAACACATATATGTAAAGATAATGATACTACTACTACTACTACTACTGCTGCTGCTGCTGCTGCTGCTGCTGCTGCTGCTACTACTACTACTAAAGATAATAATAAAGATAATAATAAAATATTTTCGACGAGCTGCAGCCGTGGTCGCAAATTTCCCGTCATTTTATTAAACCGTTAAGGATGATAACGTTTACAATTTTTTCTATTAACAAGAACACGAAGCACGAAAAATGCTAAAACACATGTGTAAAGATGATAACAATAATAAAACTGTACACTAMATGCAGTTCTGTGTTAGTTGTCTTGTTTGATTTAAGAATTACTCTGGTAAGTATRAGCAACTCAATCAAAGATATTTGGAGTCGCTGCCAGCAAAATATTTTCAACGAGTTGCAGCCGTCGCAAATTTTCTGCCATTTTATTTATTCCTTTCATGCGCAAACGAATACATTCCACTCCTACGTATTTCCTTCCGCTGACCGCTTTTTTATTTACAAATTTTTAAAATTGACATACTTTAAGAAATCAAGGCAATTATGGCACAATAAAGGATTACCTCTGAATATGAAGAGAAAAGAAATTAAGATTAGACCATGAAAGCAGCCGTTAGCATGGCAACATCGAATTTACATTACGAACACCACACGAAACTATTATCAACAAAATCAAAACAACAAAAAAGTGTATAAACAATATCAAACAACTCTCTAGGAATACAAAAGTTTTTTTTCAGAAGATTCTATGATTATGCCTTAACTGATTTCAAGGCTTTCAACAATGCCGTATGAGGTCTTTTCCTGTTTGAAGTTCGTTGTTCAAAACGTGGCTATGATTGGCTGAAAATCGTAGTGTTTTGTTTTGCATTTGTATTGCTTGTGAAGAGTCTTTTGTTCTCCAAACCACCCTCCGGCAGTCATTTTTTTATACACATTTCAAATTATTCATCAATCCTGCACAAGATTTCAAAGATATTTGACGTTTACCGAAGCTGAAAGTYTCTGTTTTAGGAAGCCAAGTTCAAGTCTGTCGCCCTGAGGAAAGCATAAAGACAGTTGTTACCAAACTTGAGAAGAGGGAGGCTTCGAGAAAAGGAATGATAACTGCTTATTTGTGTTTTAATCAACATTTGTTGACTCGTTTAATAAGCATMGATCAATCCAAAGAGTGACTGATTACATACTTGGACTGCAGCTGTCTTCTAGTACTTTGGAAAACTTTGGCTATCGCTGCCAAAGACAAGCCGAACAAGAGTACGATCAAGATTAATTATTTCTTGAAATTCAAACTGGAATTTCAGCTCAAGTTCACTACTTCGTAAGCAGTTAARCGAGAAAGACTTGCTTGAAATTGAACTCAGCTACTTTACTATTTATGTGTTTTGCGATTCAAGAAGACGAACGAACGACAGCATGCAATAAATTGCTTAGTGACTTGCTCCAGCTTTCTACGTCTTAGAGTTTTGCGTTGTAAAAGAAAACGTCCGAGCCAAGGCAGACATTTCACACTTGTTAAGTGAARAGAGAGCACCCGAAAGACCAAGCCAAGACTTTGGATTTTTCGATACAACTCAGAAGACTTCAGTTCAACACAAAGGTTTTAACATTCGCGTGGTATCCYGTTGTTTACATTTTTTCAAGTATTCCCATCAAAACACTCGTAAAAGTTGGCTTTCTTTGGCCAAACTAAGATTGCTACACATTTTAAAGCATAGGAATCTACGTTCTAGAACTCTACAAGTTTTTCCGGGGTATTGATAAGATACTCGGATGGTTTACACGGAAGGTGCCAGCCATCTTTCGAGGCAACGGCCCATTAGATACCCAAGTCACCTCTAAGCATCGACATAAAAGCATCACCGTGTGTCTTGATGGACTGTCATATTTKGTGACCCATTGAATCAACAACAAAGCTTTAGCTGAACTACTGACGCATTCAGTACGTCGAGTTTGTATGTTTAAGGATTTGATTAGCGGCTTCAAAATCAACAGTCTTTCTAATTCTTTAGACACGTAGCAAGTTTTGATCGGATTTATTATGCCTGATCAAATGAGTCTGACCGATGGAATTAGCCCTTACCTTAACACCATCTATCTATGTGTCGCACTGTTGACCATACTATGTTCTCTTGTCTGTAATTTATTCGTAATTACAATAATATATGGCTGGAACGAAATCCTGAAGCCACTRGACTGGTTCATGATAAACCTCTTGTCCTGGGATATCGTGTCGTTGTTATTTGCAACGTTGACGGTCGACAATGTCGAAATGAATTGGCATATCTCTGACGTTTTCTGCAAGGCCAGTTTTTCAATGGTATACATAGGTTATGGAGTAACGGTYCTGACACTTTGCGCGGTATGCCTCGAAAGGTATTATGGGATCTGCAAACCCGTGTCGTACCAGAAGTGTATAAATTCCATGACCTGGAAGTGGGCATTTCCTGGAATATGGCTTCTCARCTTCGCTTTGTTTGGTGTCTATTTCCACGTKTWTGGCAGAAAAACCGTCACAACTCCAGGTGGAGCACTAGGGCACGTCTGTGACGAGACSTGGAAGACTGGGTCCAGTGGCATCTTCTACTTACTCGTCCCAGTCCTCCTGCTTACAGTTGTACCTATAATCTTCMTGGTTCTCACGTTTGTCAAGATAATCAAGAAACTTAAAGTGTCTCGCACACCATCCTCGGGTGGGAGTGCYGTGCTTTACATGAGACGAAGGCAAACAGTCAAAATGTTGGTATACTTGGTACTCGTTCATTACCTTTGCTGGTTGCCTGCCATCATCTTGAAACTTGTTGGCACGTTTGRGACCCAATCACCATGGTACTGGATCACACTGGCGTTTTGTGACCTACCCCATTATGCACGTGCCATATTTTACACCCTGATATACTACAGGATGTACCACGTTTTCACGAGGASCTCAGGGGTGGCTTGTAAAGACTGCTTTTGCTGCTGCACTACGAGAAAGAAGAGTTTACATTAATGAACACCAAGTCAAATAGGATTCTTTTTACTATTATTATGAATTTATAACTGATTTATAAACTTATTTTTATACACAAACCACCAATATATGCAYCATTGTTGTCGAAATTGATTAAATTCAGTGTCCATACTTACTTCTTCATTCCATCTCGTCTGAAAACCAGTTCCATGTACCCTATACCGAAATGCTCTCTCAATTGCTCTTTTAAGAATTTCGTTTTCAGGTCAAGCAATGCTCCTTGGAGTTCAGCTTCATCGGGAAAGTGGCGCGGTTCAAGGAGCTGARTGTCAGAAGGAGGACCTCTTTTACTAAAGATATCTGTTTAAGGGGCGAGTTTCATTTCAGACGAAAATCCTGTTAAAAAATAAAAAGGATAGAATAAATATGAATTGCATGGTAGCGAAGAGAAATCTTGACAAACTCATTTAGGGCAAATTTTGTTAAGAAACAAAATGGTAAAGAAACATTCTATCTACGACGTTTGACTCTCAAGTGGCGTCCACTCCAAACAAATGAAAAAGAGAAGTAAAAGAAGAGGAAAGATGAAAGAGAATACAGAAAGGAAACGAAATGAGAMCGAGCGGGGAAGAAGGACATGTGAGGACGGAGCCGGAACTGATACATCATCTACACATCTCTACTTCAACCACCGCACCAGTTTGCCTTAATTCCCCCTATTAATCTATTAATATATATATATTTTTTACAAGCTTGATAATCTAAACTTACACACAAATTGATAAATACGCACTACAGCCAGTACACTTGGAGCACCTAGTCCATAATGCAACGGGGCCCGACTAACGTAATCCCGAATAGCCACAARTTACTGTACCACGGTTTTAACAATGAATGACAAACTATAATCATAGAATTATTTCTAGTTCCACATGGACTATAAGCTAGAAAACAATTGTACTATCATGGAAAGGAGAACTGGTTACTTTAATTTTAAGTAATTTTCTATGACAYACGTACATGTCCTTTGCCATTTCTTATTTTCGTTTAGTTTCAAAAATTAAAGAATTTTCACAACTCTTTTTGTTGGGTGTATTTCATTGTCGTACAAGGTTCATTGTATTGCATGCAGACTTGTCTAACGCTCATTTATGTTTATAAATTTCTTCAATATTCTGAAATTTGTGATGGCCTGCAGGCAACAGTAAGAAAAACTTTTTCTTTTCTATTCCTTTTTTTCTTCAAATTTTCGTTTTTCAGTTTGCGAGCTTTAAATGCACAATGAAAAACTGATGTTGTTTGGTGTTAATAATTCAATTCGATTAAACTTAGTTAAGTGGTTACATTGTTTCGACATAATTTTAGCGTCGGCTTATAGGTGTCCTTTACAATTGATACAAATGGTGCGCTTTTCATTGACAACCTTTCAACAATTCTGAAATCATCATCAAAAAAATATTTGATTGTCTCAAAGAAAAACTTTGATTAGACGACAAAAAGTAATAAAAGAAATATACAGCTGAATCACCTAGGTTAAACAGCGAAAGAGCAAACAAAAACGCCGAAAATACTTACGCAAACACTGGCCGAGATTAGGAGGCGAAAGGCGTTAGTACAGCTGGATGACAGGGACTGTTAAAGAAAGTTATGACAACATGGCGCGTATTTGGTAATGGCACATTTTTTATTAGGTCTGCCTATGGAAACATTTTTGATTACTAATACGTCTTTGATGTGCCGTGTGTTTGAAGAGTGGATTTTAATTTTGAGCCACGGTTTGGTTGATTAACCGACAAAGGTGTCTTTGTGGTAATTGAAAAGGCACAAGTGTTGTAATTCCCTTCAAGATCAGAGTCCGAGACAGGACYGTAATGGAGAATGCGTGACTCTACCTACACTCTTGCACCAGGGGCCGGGAGTAATCTAGATGAAGAAAAATCAGTGAAGTTTATTATAATAATCGCCTCTTTCTTGCTGTCGTACTTTTATAATCCCAAAATAAACTATCAAAGAAATGAACTTTTTCAAAATTTACGTTTACATTTTTTTTTTTACATTTGTGTGCTTCTCATAGGCTCAAAACCGCTGCAGGAGAAACTCCAAGTTTTCCACTGCTAATACTGATTACTCTAAAGAACGGATGGTCATTTCATTCTCTGCACAAGTTTAACATCTTATTTCGGGGAGCGAACTAAGGTTGCTAAGCAATTTTTCCGCACAAAGACGTGATGTTATCAACATTCAAAACTAATMAAAGAGAATGACATAGCTATGAAAAACAACACATGAATTTTCGTTATTTTATTTTCTACCTCTCTGTTGACATTCGATGGCGAACAAAACCATCATTAGCGACTGTTACGTCACAGGTAAACTAAACACAGATTTCTAGATTCAATAATAAATCATATGAATAGATTTGGTGGGCTTTCGTGTGTTTGTGTCGGGAGGGGGGTGGGGCTTACTTACATTTTTCACAAAAATACAAAGTGCTCTAACAGTACACAGTGTTTTCATAAAGTAATTCTTTTAGTTTTAGCTTCTTTTGGGTCAAGTAATGTCAAAAATTACACTGGAAGTCGTCAAACTTATATTAAAAGTTCAATAAATGTGACCACTACAGGTTGAATTTCAATGAAAAGTATTTACTTTACTGATAAAAAACAAAAAAAGAAATTCGCACGTGTGACCTAAATCACAGACAACCTTCCAAACAATATTTCAAGGTTTCAAAAGAGCTGCGTCCTGTTTTAGCTAGTCTATTAAAGCCGGGAAGGGTTGAAATCTTCACGATTGGGTGGAAGTATGATGAACAAAGATACTTAAGGGCAAACTCAAGGGCATATTCGATAGAGTGTGGAGAAGAACTAGGGTGGGTAATGTGACTTCTTTTCAACCATTTTCAATTCCCAATTTTCAAGAAGAACTAAGGCCCGTCAAACATGGTCTCTCGACTTTTGCTATAAAACTTCTATTAGTGTCGTTGGACAAAATGACATGTGATACGTCTATAAATAGCATCAAAATAAACATTTATTTGGTGCCATGTTGGAATGGAACAATTGCTGACAATTTCCATGACAAATAAAATGAACAAGACCAGAAAGTTCATTCCTTGCAACAAAAAGACTTGTTTATGTCTTAACATGTATCCCTTTGTTTGTCCTTGGAAATTCAAGTCGATTTTTAATCACTCTGCAAATGAATTACCCSAAACATTTAAAAAAACCAGACACAAGCTTTCTTACGCCGCATAATCCCTGTGGAWATAGCTCTTTTGTTTAATCCCTTTTAAGATGATAAATGAGTCAAAAGAATCGAGAAACCATTGAAGTAGAATTAGTGTGTTCGGTTTTACAAACGGCAGAAAAGTCAAATATCACCCCACGTGTTGTGATAATAATACTCGAACGATTCACCAAGGTATTAACGCATAATCTTTGTATAAACACAGGGTCTCTATAGAAAGGCAGCACCCACGTTCTTCAACTTTGRGACGGCTTATGAGTCTGTCACGAGAAAATCCGAAAGCAAATAGCTGAGTAAAAAAAATACAAATTTGTCTCTGCACGCAACGAAGTCTAGTCAAGAACGAGCGTAAAAATTCCCAGTTATTCTTATCTTTGTATGGTTAGAACGACAATCAGCAGCGCCTTCGAGGCGCCTTTGGGAAATTACCAAGAGATTTAGCGAAATTAAGAAAAGATTCCTCAAATTGAATGGAGTTGTACTGTTAGTTTGGGAATTAGCACTAGCAACAAAGGAGCCGAAGAAATATCGAGATTTCTGTGGTATTTGGTAGTAATTTTCAGATACAACTAAGATCTTACCGCTGTAGTGTACGGTTGAACCTTGTGGAGCTCAAGCCAGCGACCTTATGTTACCTAACTGACTTGTTGAGAAGTTCATTCATTCCAAAATATGAGTTACTCACGAAAATAGAACTCAACTCTACGATATATTATTACTAGATAAACTAACATATCTTGAATTTTTCCATTTTGGGAACAATTGACTTTATTTAGTATATTAGACGAAAAATGCAAGTGTTTTTGCAAAACTGAATGACAAAATTAAGGGAAAAGTATAGGAAAACATGACTGAAAGTCAACTCCGTTGTTAACTAAAAATAACAAGCGATTTGAGCGCAAACCTTTAGCGTTTTTTATCACAATAAACTGAATTAGAAAAGATTTATAAAGGAATTTGTTATTGACCTCCATCTAAACTTTTTTCCACTTTCACACCGCTTAATTTTGAAAATAAATTAAGTTTCCTACCCTCACGAAATTACCACGAGGGATTTTCAATTTAACCCGTCCAGCACTTGATTGTCTTCAATTAACTATCTATGTTATGGCAAATGTTTTTTCTTCATTCAAATCACTTCGAACTTTTCCATGTCGGCAGCTTTCTACTCAGTTTTCTAAAGAGACAAATATCCCATTTAACCCTCGCTGTTTAGTAAGTTTACTCAACGAGAACAAAACAATCCATTGAAACAAAAAGCTAGGTGGATTTTTTTCATTCATGATTTTGTCATACGAAATAAGCTTCTTGACCTCAAATAATATGGTCAATAGCCAATATCCCGTGTCCTGTAGCTAGGCTTTTGTGCTGGTTTTTGCAGTCCTTTGTGCGGCTGGAGACCCCAATAAAGCGTTCTATTGTCGGCCGTGTCGTTATTTGTATACGGAATCATTATTTAAACAAGAAGCCTTAAGTAATTTCATCAAGGTTTTTTTATTAGCACGGCTGTCGGTTATTTTCATCGAGGGCCTTGGAAGCCTAGAACGACGGAAAACGTAATCCCTTCTTGTTCTATCGGTGTTTCACTGCTGTCATTCTTATTGTCTTGATTTAAAGCGCCATATATACCCATCCCTGTTCTATAGAACACGATCATTTAATTCCCCTCAAAGTATTGCGGAGAACAGCTTAATTCCCTAAGCCGGGCCGCAAGCAATTGGTTTCTTAAGAACAAATTACTATCAGTTATTAAAATACAGCCGACAAGAGTTCTGTGGATTCGTCAGTAGATATGATTTTAGCTTTGAGTGGAGTGAAGAGTATCAAAAGAGGTTGTGATTTGTGTCAAGCCATCAAGAATGACTTTGATTGGCTTTCTAACGTTTTGACTTTCAACGCTTCTCATTTAGATTTAGCAATTCAGTATTAAACTACTGCTGTGGTATGACTAAGAAAGAAAACTACTTCATCAAACTATAGAAACGTCGTCAGTTTTTGGACAACTTGCAAACACTTTAAAACAGGCCAAAGAAGGACAAAAAAGGAAGGAAGGAAAGAAAGAAAGAAAGAAAGAAAGAAAGAAAGAAAGAAAGAGTGAATGAAAGAATGAGAAAAGAAAGAAGGAAGGAAGAAAAGACAAGAAGAAGAGGAAGGAAAAAAGGAAATAACAAGAGACTTCACACTCATACAGAAATAAATTATATTATTTTCAAACTGAGTATTCCAGCAATTAAACCAGCCTTTAAAAATGATATATTTTGATTATATCATAACCTAGAACAGTCGTAATTCCACAGCAGTACAGACTAACCTCGGGGCATTCGACTGACAATATAAATCTCCCACAAAGCTATTTTATTTAGTTATTTTCCCCATTTTGTTATTAACTGCTCTTGATTCGAAGCAAGGTATCTTCGCCTCACAGCATGGTGACCTGCGTGCGTGTCTGGTAGCGAGCTCAGAATCGCTGTTAAACTCGAGGTAAAATACTCGCTGTTAAATCTTGTTAATATTACAGTTAGTGCTTATGAGTTAATCTGACGTGTACAACACGATTTTCTTGGGCTTTTGATGACAAATAGGAAGGTAAAGATTTAAATTAAATATTAGTTGAATCAAGTCAAATATAACAACGTTGCTCTGAGGAACGCCTATCTCGCCACAACAGCAAATCTTGGAATCATTTTTTAATCTTTTTTTAAGTACTACTTTGAGTTGGGATGTAATAATCAATTCAAGGTGTTCATCACTGCAATAGCCTTGAGCTCATGGAATTATAGAAAGAAAGAATTGTATATGAATATCAGAGCAAAATTAAGATAGCAAAAAGC